CTAACCAACGCAGCTGTTAAAACAGCTGGTTTATTTTTTGTTTTGTTTTGTTTTCCTCTGACAACGTTGCACCATGGCCTACTGCAGCCGCTGTCTATAGAAGGAATCAGGAGCTGCCAATGTCCACAAATGACTGCTCTGCCTCAGCTACTGCCTCGTATTAGATTGAGACATTTCATGTTTCAGTCTGTCAGCTTAATAAGAAAACATGCACAAGAAACTAAATAGTAAACATAGATCCATGCAATACAGTTCACAGGTGTACAGTATTCATCAACAAAATTACTTAAAAATTAAGAAAAAAATGAACAGTGATTAGACTGTCAGCAGAGGTTTTAACAGCAATATTTTTAGCTACTCTTCCCACACACAACTGCGGCTCAATGGCCAAAATTTGGAGTGGAAGTGTTAAAGTCTACAGACATGGTTTAACTTTAGCAACTCATACATTACAAGTTAGCAAGCACAATCACAAGCATTTCCCTCACAGAAATTTGTACTTCAAAGACCACCATCTTTTTATGAGATCTGGGCTGGATGAAGAGGACCAGTTACAAAGGTTTGCCTAGACAACCATCAACACAGATAGGCTAAAATATAACCTGGGTTATGCATCCTACAATCGCATTCTACGTGTCTCCAGGAAAAGGCAATTCCTTTATTTCCTTTAGTTCCAAGCTCCGCTACTTCTAAGTGATGCTTCACAGCCCCCAAAAGGGAACACTCTACGACAAATACTAACTTTTCTCCACTAACCTTACAGTTGGAAAGCAGACAGCTAGTGACAACAGAGGCCTAATGAGACTGTAGCGCTAGAAACCTGTCTTGGCCCTCGTGGAGAGAGAGACAGAAATGATCCCGGATGAACTCCTGCACAAACTGCCACAAGAGAGCAAGGCTCCCTAAAGAGGGATAAAAATCCTGGACTGCCAGCAGAGTGTAGGAAGTTTATAAGGACACAGACCTACTGTATGCTGCAGCGGATGGCACTTCCGCTTATTTTTTTTTAAGTCTGCCTTCCACATACATCTGTCATATGCTGCATCCTAAAGAACCCAAGCACAACCAGAGTAGCTAGATCTGGACACAAAGTTAATAAAAAAACTCCTAGAAATTCTGTCCCTGCATTGCAGCCACCCTCCTTTCACGTTTAATTCAGGTAATGGCCATTTCCAAGGTCTTCCATTCCACCTATTTGCAAAGCACTGCCCAAGAGCAACACCAAGCACACCCACAGGCAGAATTTGCTCTTTCTGCTGCACTTGGGTGGACATTTGGGTCACATCCCGAACATGTGCCTTCCTGCAGGACTGTGCCCCATGACAGGTTGGCCTGCTCGGCTGTACCCCCCATCTGTGCCTAGCAGCCAAAGAGCACAAGCCAGGTTGATAAAGCAAAGGAGACGTGGAGCCTCAAGCCTTGCAAAAGAGAAAACGCACCATGCCTGTTGCAAAGCAGAGAACTGCTACCTTGGCTACAGGCCTTTCCCTTATTACTAAGCTAGTATACAAGGAGGGAGAAAATGAAAATCACTTCCGCACAATTAGAAAAATGCAAGTAGCCCCAACAATGGTTTGCTGGCATTTGCTGTCCTCTATTAAGAGCTTCAGAAAATAGGTCAAAACCTGATGGTTTGCTGGCATTCGCTGTCCTGTATTAAGAAGAGCTTCAGAAAATAGGTCAAAACCTGAATAAATATGAAGATTCAATTCTTCTTGTTTCTGGAAGCTGACCAGCTAGGTCAAATCACAGGTATGCCAGGAGAATCCACAAGGAGAATCACTCATCACCCCTCTTCTGTGGACAACTGAGAATCTTCAACTAAGAAATCCCACTCTGACAAAAGGCTAAGACAAGTGAAAACAGAAGACGAAGAAGAATTAACAAAGGCACAAGTCAGTTATTTGAATCCTCTATCACTATTTAAAATGCTTTAGTTCTTCCTACAATGTGCTGCAGCAAAGCATAGTTCTACTGTAGGTGACTGGCAGGCTGGAAAGGGTATTCAAGGGAGATTAAGTGTTCTTGGTAAAAAATGTTGAAACGTTTGTCTTTCCTCCCTACAATATAAACTAAATATAAACTAAATTCCACATGGGAACAAAATAATCAATTCCTGTCTCTCTTCTGAACAAGCAAAACAGGAGCAATATGATTCTCACTATCACTTTAATGTGAGCATCAGCCCCTTTACCAAGAGATCTCCTCCCACTCCTCAGTTTTTGTGTCTAAAAGACTTTTGTTAAAGGAAGCCTGCAATACAGTTCTTTGTTTAGGGCACCAAGCTGAATTACCTAAGACTTAGGCTGCAGATAGGGGAGCCAAAGGTGCCAAAGTGAGCTTGTACCTTGTACAGCAAAAAAATTTACTCTATCCATACCCAGCGAATAGATTTTTGCAGGCCTGTTCAGCTACAAGATCCAACAACTGAAGTGTATTAAAGGCTAAATCTAAACAAGTAATATAGCACAATAGGAGCAAATATCCAGAGAAAAGCAGTTGATCCTGAGGAACTGGCATTCACACTCCACAAACTTAGGGTGGGAGTGTTATCTCAGACAAGCTATAGTCTGGTCCACGGACCAAATATTTACGGGCTGAAGGAGAATATTCTTCAGTTTAGCTTTGTCCCAGTTGAATCCAGCCCTTGCACTCCGAGACCATTTGCTGGTGCAAAGCAAGGGCCAGCAGGCAGGCATAGTCAGGAGATTCGTTTCAAAAGCCCATTCCTGACCCAAGTTCGGATGCCAATGCACACGCAAACTCTACTACCACCATTTTTGCAGGAGTGCCCAGGCTCTTTAGATGGAAAACAAAGGTTAAAAGCCAAGCAGCACTTCACAGGGAGAGAACACCAGCCCATTTGATTCATCCTCTGCAATCTCCAATTTATTTAAGTGCCATAACATGATATGGCACTTGTCTGTTTCCTGACTGAAGAACTCAGCAGGGAAAAACAGCGTGCAGCTTAGTGACCTTAGCAGAAGGCAGGGGAAATATGATTAAGGAACTAAATTCTTTCACAGACAGAGTGTGCAGGGAGAAGACCTGAAAGAATACAGAGAAATCTGGACATTCCCACAGGGAAGTAAAAACATCTATTCTGAAGTGCTGAAAGCAGAAGCAAAGCTGTTGTGAATCCCAGACGCCTTCCAAAGCGACACAGTCCTTGGACATCTCCTGTACTCCTCAGGTTAAAAACAGGACTTTTGCTTGTAGCAGCACAACTTATCTCACATGTGATCTTCTCATTAAAAATGGTCCAGTCAATTAATGTTTTAAACGTATCTCTCCATGTAGCCATTTTGAATTGGCAGGTATGGGTAAATGATACCACTACTTGAAGGGAATTGGCTTTAAATCATGTTTGTAACACATCTGCCAAGATGCTGCTATTACAGAAAAGGACCTTTAATGTGTTGCCAGTATTTCTACATGGACATCTCACTAAGCATTCTTCTTTATTCAGAGGTAAAACTCACACTTAAGAGATACAAATGAATCAGGGAAGGGTACTAGTCTGCAAAGACTGGTTATTTAGACTGTTTTAAGCAACTGTAAGACTGGCTAATTACTTTGGGTGCTTTGCTTGAATAACTTGAAAGAGTCTTGTATTCAAAGGGCCTGCAAAACAGACCTCTCTCAGGAGTCACAAGCGTGGCCAGCCACACTTTGGAGGAAGCCAGTACTGAAAATAATCTACTACAGTATTTGTATGCATATCTATCTATCTAAAGAAGAAGACCACAAAAAAGTTGAAAATATTTTCTTCTGGGAAACATTAGTAAAACCACCGCTCACTGGAAAATTATACGTTAATCTAAAAGTGAGTAAGTGTATTTGGTAGAAGCATTTGAGTTCTGCAGGCTGAAAACAAGAGGCAGGATTTACTATATCCCATCAGGCCCTTTTTTTCTTTTTTTTTTATTTAGGAACCAGATTTTAAGAGGGGGGTCCTGGAAGCATCCTTGGACATGTCACACCCTAACTGAGAGCCACTTCAGTTTACAGAGTGGTGCTGACAGGTTCTCCTCATGCAGAGCAAGTTGACAGCCAAACCATATGACTTCAGCAAAGCCACATCTCTGTGTCATATTACAGTGTGCACCCCAGAAAGGAGTGCAAAATCCTCACCATTACCTTGTCTTTCCATAAGGCGTGTGAGATGGGGGAGGGAAAAGTAGAAGGAAAAGTAGAAAGAAGAAAACATTTAACTGGCCCTTGCTAGAGGTGACAAAGGAAATAAATTGCATCGGAAAATGAAATCCTTGCTCTTTGGCCTTGCCTTGATTTGTTACCTGCATGTCATCTAGCTCAGAGGAATCAAAGCATGGTAAAGCTACTTGTCACAGATCTTTTCACAGGGGAAGGCTTTCATAGGGGGAAACAAAACAAAAAAAATCTTGAGCACTATATATCCTACGTGTCCACCGGGACAGACACAGCCTTTGCCCCTCCTTGCAGCAAAACGCCTGGCTCATGCCCATAGGGCTCTTCCTAGCTGTGTCTCAAGCTGCAAACATAAAGCAGGGCCCCGTGCTGGTCAGCAACCTGCGGGTGCTGCCAGACCTGATGGGGCTGGTAGAAGATACACACACAAAGTTACAACTGGCCCAGAGGTGTGGGGAGCTGACAAACAAGAACAGAAACTGCAGAGGCAGGAAGCCTGCTAAAAGAGCGATTACCAGCACGCATGGACTATGTGCAGCACTGCTAACATTGCGTGCTCTCTGTCCGAGTGTTCCCCACTGCCATCAGGCACAACTGCTCTGGAATGCAGCTGGGCTTGGAGCCATCGCACTGTTCTTCAGTCTCGGATGGCCCCGCACCTACAGAACCAACGCTCAGGAAGGAGAAAATGGAGTGAAAGAGGGTGGGGCTCTTCAGGGTATTTTTCATGCAGAAATGGAGAATGAGATGTTTGAAATCACCTGTGAAACCAGTCTCCACCCCAAAAGAGGCACAAAAAATAAGAAAAAAAGGGTTTAAGTGGTACTTACGCGGCATGATCCCTTGGCTCACCAGTTCCTCCCGTGTGCGTCGCTGCTGGAGCTTCAACTGCAGCACTGCACAACAGCAGAGAGAGGGAAGAGAAAGGAGCCCATCAGTGCGAGAAACAAGGGCGGCCACATTTTCACATGCATTCAGTTTTCTTCATTGGATGCCAGGACGTTAGCGAGCAGCAGAACAAAAAGATCCCCCCTCCCAGCCCGCTCCCCTGCACTACTGCAATTGCAGAAGTAGCCTCAAGCAGTAAGGTTTCCGTATCTGCTGCGGGCAACAAGTTAGAGGAAGTTGCAAAGGGTCTTGGCAGGGTGATAAAATCCACAAACCAAGCCTGTTTCTCAATTCTTTTCTAAAGCACCATGTTCTTTCCAAACCATTAATATCAAAAAAAAAAAAAAAAAAACGCAGGCGAACCGCACTCCAGTAAAAACAGTGGCACCCAAACTGCAAACGACTCTGAAGCTCTAATGGCCACGTGCAGGTTAAACTGATATGACAAAAATATTGGTCGTTAATAGTTGGTCATTAATTTCTGAAATTTCTGGTTGATTTCCTTTCTCAGCTCAGAAATTCTTTTAACTTCTGAACAACTAACTAATGTGAAATATCATGATATAGCTAGAAGTGTCTTTGCCCCATTGCAAAAGGTATCCCTTTATCAGAAGATTTTTTGCCTATTTATTTTAATGAAATGGCATATAAGTATTATTTTTATGAAATGCAAGAATCGGTTCTATTACAAATCTTCACTCATAATCTCAACATTTAGGCTACTATAGCAGTTTTCATTTGAACTGCATAATCAAAATAGCATTTTGGGAATTGTTCTTAAGAACAATCAAGGACAGCTCCCATGTGAGAGGAACCTTTTAAAAATGAAGAACACACACACGTACACTCATACACACACACAAACACGTATCAATTTAGGTCAATGTGGGTGAACATCAATACATACTGAACCCTGTTACAATCAGAGATTATGCTGCGCGTACGCGACACAGCAGGTTATAAAATGAATAACGTGGCCTTTTCCCTGTTTTTAGTTCCTCTGTCAAGCTGATGTCTGTTGTATAGTTCACAGAACTGAAGTCCACACAAGTGTAACAGAACCACCAGAGCACAAAACTGCAGCCTAACTATGCCATCCCATTACAACCATCACACTTCCTTTCTCAAGTACTTTTGACTGTCCAATAAATTTATTTCACACACTACATCCAAATCTCTACTGCACTCTCCCTAAAGTAGGGATCAAAATAATGAAAGTTGCCATTGATGTACTTGCATACAACATCATGTTTCATCTATTTCTTCAAATGTCCTACTTGAAGTTTGCATTTGACTAAGATACATCCTCCAGTAAGGCTTCTAGTCTTCATATGAAGCTAATGAGAGATGAAAATCTTGCGTCTTCCTTGGTTATTTGCACAGTGGCTCATCACCTTCACTTAAATGCACACTTGCATTTTTCATTTGGACTTGTCTACCTTCAACTTCTGTAGGCTCTTGATCTATCTTTCTGTTAAAGGTTTATGACCAGCAGAACCTATGGAGGTACTTCTGTATGCAGTATGCCATCAGGTTACCTCTCTCAGCAGAACCTATGGAGGTACTTCTGCATGCAGTATGCCATCAGGTTACCTCTCTTCTTTTTCATAAGCTAACTTCGGGTTTCTTAACATACGCATCCGAGGGAGGGTTTATTTTAATCAGGGGGAGTTATTTAGAGCACTACGCTGATTCTGTGCAGGCTCAGGCAAGAGCTGGAGACAGGAGGAGGGAATGCACAGGGGAAGGAACCAGCCCTTCATTTGGCTGCGAAACTGCAAACAGAAGTGCTAGTCCCGGACTCTTCCTCCCACCCAGCCGTGCAGTCGCACTCCTACTTTTGGGTTGGCATGAGCCTTAACATGATCTCACGGTTGGCCTGTCCACAGAGCTCTTTATTTGTTGGATTAGTTCTGAGGTGGCTCAAAGGCGGAACCAGGTGATGACACAGCTACATGAGCGCCGGTGCCAACAGGACGCAGGGGACCACAGCAGACGGCCTGAGTCAACCTAAGCCACTTTGGAAACACTCGTTAGGAGCCTAGAGAGAAGTTCACTGAGTTGATGTCACAGCTTGCTGCTGCAGCGAGTCAGCCTCTCCCTCCCAACAGTTCTCACGTTCGTCTGACTGCACTCACTAACTGGACAGAAAACACAGCCAACCTAAAAAGCGAATAGTTTGCTGCCAGGCTGGTGAGTCCAGTAGACGCTGCTGTAAAGGCAGATATCTGCTAAAGCTATCATAAAGTGTGGGGGGGAGACTTCCCCTCTCAGCAGCAGCATGCCACAAAGTCGCTTCAGCTCTGCTAGGTGAACGTTTAATGTTAGACACATTCAATCTCTCACTATGTAGTATTTTTTCCACTCCTGAGTCACTGTGGAGGGGGGCTTGTTTCCATGTCCTGAATTAGCACGTCTCACTAAATGCACAGAAACGAGGCATGGACCTCGAGCACTGGTCTCCCCATCTTTACTTGCAGACAGTCTCATTATTACTCACTTCTCCCCACTTACTTACACATCTAGCACTGTATTTTTTAGTCCTTTTCGCCACAGCACTGTCATATTTTCTTGCTAGGACTACTTACCTTTCCAACTCTTTCCTACTATCTACCTTGCTCGGGCTACTTACCCTTGCCCTCCCAGGGTCACTGATTTTCAGGGAAAACCTCCTCCACGCAGTTACCCACTGGGTTTCCTGCTCTTTGCTGTCCAGCTCTGCGCTCAGCTCTATTTGCACACTTAGGGCACAGTTGGTCTCATTCTGCCTAAATGAGCTAAGCAGCTTTTTACTGTCTGTTACAATTATCTCTGCCTTCCACCCACATCTTTCTAGCAATCATCCTACATTTGTTTCCAGACTCCCCAGGTTCATCCCAACTAGAAATACTTTTCTTTTCTTTTGATTGCAGCTAGTTCTTAATCCATTTAAGATTGTCATACTTTGTTGAATTCAGGGATATTTTTAAAATCAAATATACTGCACTAGTAACCGAAAGACCCTATTCCAGACAACAGCTCTAGCCACCAGATTTCTAGTACGAAAACAAGAAAACTGCATTTGAGCAGACCTCCTTGTCAAAAAACTGAAAAGCTGAAGAGCAGGATTATGCTTCTGGGTTTACACCATCCAAATTCTTTATCAGTTTTTCCACAGTTTCTTCCTGGAACTGATATCAGATTAGCAACGCTTTACCTCACTCACCCTTTTTTGCTAGTGATGCAAAATGTCACTTCTCTTACACTCTTCAGAGGTCTCACAGCTACTCCCAGATTTACTAGCAATCAGTCTTAGCAACAGAAGCAGAGATTTCTTCAAATGACACAAGATTCTCTCCCTCACTTTAGCTTCCCCTACGAAATTCTAAAAATAACTTATTTATATAGATCACCTACCATCTATTGCCCTTTTTCTCTACTCATTAAATGTATCTTTTACTTTCGGTCACTGTGTCCCTCCATGGCAAGAAATTATCAACTGCCAAGAGGACTAAATTGGGGAATAGGAAAAGGTCATTTTCAGAATATATTTAATTAGCACTAAGTGATTCTTGGGATTTATGAACACATATATGTAGATATTAAGTGTAAGCTATTACCAGCACAAAATGCACTTTTTCCCCAATGCAGCTGATTATAGGGACAGGGAGGAGGGCAAAAAGGTTTAATTCAGTTCACTCCTGAATCCACTTTGGCTTAAATCAGTACTTGGAGTTCCAAACGCCATTTCATATATTTAGGAGATCACCTGTTTACATGTGCAAGTGTGTGAATCCTATATATAGATTAACAGATGTCCCAAGAGCCAATCCAAGGCTGCTGTACGTGTAGCTCAGCCAAAAGTCTAGAATGACGGGAGAAATTCAAAGTTGCCCAAAGACAAACCAGGGTGCAGCTCTTTCAATCACAAATCAACTTTTTTTTGGTTTCCTTTACCAGTGTACTTAAATTCTAAGCTAATTTTCAATTTAGGGGGGAAAAAAAAGGGTCATATAAAGGATGGCGCATATCTGCTGCCAACAAAATAAGTCTTATATGAGGATTTTCTCATTTGTCTCTTTATTCAACTTTTTCACAATCTGTGAAGCGTTTTGTAAACTTTGCATGCTGATCTGATGCTCGCACTGCAAAATGTAATTATTTCCCAATTTGAAAAAAATCTGGGATTTAGTTAAAGTCGGCACGAAGTTTTCAGAGCTCTCATGAAGTATTTCAAGAATTACTGAAACATTCCCGAGCAATCCGGAAGACGGCGGAGCGGGCTGCTGGCAGCAGCTCGGCGAGGGGAAGGGAAGCACTTGCGTGGGTGTGCGCTAGGGTTGCAGCACCGCTACTATCAACGGGCTTGTGCTGCAAGGGAGGCGTAGCAAGACTTAACTCTTTTCCGTTCGTGTCGCCGTGGCGCGGCGTTCGTGGCGAACCCGCAGGCACAGTCGAGGAAGAAGAGGGGAAGCACGTAGCAAGCTGTGCCCATACAGGCACTTTTGGGACACTCTTCTCTTTACACCTCCAGCAGGAGTTCAGGCACATCCGAAGGCAAACGGTTATGGGGAGCTAAGTTGTTCTTTTTGGAGGGGGACATCTAAACCGACTACAGCGGCCCTCCCCTTACACACGCGTGCTTGGTGTGGCTGGAACCACCCCAGAAACGGCACTGCAAGCCCTGCAACTCACAGAAAATATGTTAGCAGAGAAAAAAAAAATGCTCTCCTCCTGGGAAATATGTCACACGCCATGACAGGTTTTCGGTGACAACCCAAGCTCTGTGTTTCCTGTGTCATGAGAGGCAGCGAGGAGGGCTCCATGGTCCTGCTCTAGGCCCGAGCTTGTGGCAAGGCCTCACGCTCGGTAAGCGCAGGCTGCTCACCAGGCCAGTTTCTCATTTGTATAAAGCCTTTTCTCCACAGGCACCCCAAAAAGCACGAAGAGTAGCGCAAGAGAGGTAAGGATCAAGTATAAGCAGATCACAGCACCTCAACACCAGTCCTGGGGCAGGATGGGGAGTGAGGAAGATCAAGAGAG